TGATAGTGGAGAAGCATTATAGGATAACTTGGGTATGCATAGCAGGATAGTCCTCATCATCATCAAGAGAGCCCATTAAAAGCAGCCAAAAAATTCACAACAACTAGCCATCCAAAAAACCTTCCAACCGACCGGAATCACCCACAAATCCATAAAGAACACAACCCGCAGAAAAACTAGGGAAGAAATGAGATAGCAATATAGAAAAATAAAAGGACAAAGGAGGAAAATCACAGCCAAATGTAAAACCACGGCCCACAATAGCATAAGCAAACCAAAAGTAATTAAGCATTATTACTTGCATAAAAAGTAAATAAGGTTATGTTTGTACTACATTTTTAGTGTTTGTTAAAATAATTTTTCAAACTAAGAAAATTTGTATTAAAAAATTGTTTAAAAATGAAATAAGAAAGTTTTCCAAACGAAATCCGAATGATAATTTTTCAGGTCAAATTTACTAAGTCATTCTTTTTTCTTTTAAACCATTGTAAGGTGGGAGAACAGTCGCAGTCGCACGCTTCTTCATCAGCTTCTAATGAGCCAACACCCACAGAACCTTTTTGTATGCAATGTATTTGATTATTATTTTTTTAGCTTATATGTTCCATTTTAAGGTTTCTTTTTTTTATTATTATGTTTATTTCTCTAATAAGCTAATTGCGTTTTCCATCCGTTTGTTTGATAATGACAGTAACAGAAAAGGAATACCCTCCACAATCAGCTATTTATTATTTCCTGAGGTAAGAAGAAAAAGAAGAATATATCCGTAAAATTTCTAGTTCAAAGAAATTTTAGAAAATAATAAGAAAGTCGTCTTAAACGAAATCTTATTTTCTCTACGGAATATATACGTGTAGTAAACTATAAGAAGATATTAAGATTACTAATCAGAATTAAGTTTGCGTTTTTTTTGTTAAGACATGTTTTTTTTGTGGTTAAATTCAATGGCGGAGCTAGAAAATGTATTTAAGGGGGTGTTGGGGGCTGTGATGCCCCAAAATTTAATTTGGAAGAATTATTCTTTTAATCTTTCAATAAATAATACTCATAGCTATTTAATGATATATATCAGACAGCAAAGCAGGTTCTATAGTTTAAAACATCAATGTACACATCTATATATATTCATTCCCAAACACTACTCGGGATCTATACAATCATCATGACGGGGGGTTTATTAATTTTTTTAAAAATTTTCCTCAACTTTTTACATTCGGGTTTTTAAATTTTTTTTTTCAAATTATTACTCAAGAAGGAAGAATATTTAGTATAAAATCAACCAAGAAAATGGATTTGGAATAAAAAGGTTGCTAATCAATTTTACAATAAATATGCTCATAGTTTAAGAAATTTTAGCCGTCTATTGAATCTAAATTCAGAATCAAAACCTGATTATGAAATAAAATTGAATTCATTTGCATAGAAAATTTACTCAGATATTTGAATTGATTCACAACTTGACATCAACTGGTTTCTAATTTGATAATTTTATACATTAATTAAACCAGACAAAGGCTTCAAAGTGTTCTAGAAGTCATCTAAACAAATGATCTTAAAATTCCTTGAACTGTAAGCTAATCACCATTGCAAAGAACTAGTCCTTGTCACCCATGTCCTTATAAATGAAAAATCTAATTGAAACCTGGGACGGTGCACTGAAACTCATCTAGCATCACTGACATTCTTTACAAATGCATTAAATGAAGTTCTTTGAAAATGGAATGGTTGGGAAGAGGATGTTTTCTGCTTGTATTGTAAATTTTCACATTGAAGAAACTAATGAACTTTCTGTAATTCCATCACGTGCTTCCCCTTCCCTCCGCCGATGGTTAAAACTCATGAAGAAACCTACGCGTTAATACTAAAAACTTATACAAATCGTTAAAGGGTTCAAATGCTTTATAATGCTCGAAGAGCTACAATCAAAAGGCCAAAAAAAAAAAAACTAATGAGTCAATGAATCAACTACTTATAATATAAGTAGAAATTAAAATGGAGAGAGAGAGAGAGAGAGAGAGAGAGAGAGAGAGATGTTTCATATGGAAGTGTACGTGAATAATTGAAATTTGCAAAAATATAGGGAGGAGATGGAACGAATGAAAGCTGAAAACACTAACATGACGAATGATGAAGCATACGCCATTGCTTTAAAGAATGTAAGAATTGTACTCCGATCCATCATACTTTGAATTGTTCTTTGGTGAATATATATATATATAGCTATATTATAATTTGCTTGACTCATAATCAAACATTATTATTGCAGTGGGCTAGATTTGGATATGACCGCTGTGTAAGTTATCTAAAAGCAGCTTTTGCCATCGACAGGGATTCACTTCCATCAACAACATTTCACCGTGTAAGTATCTGCATTCTAAGTACATATGTAAAGATATATATCGAAAGAGAGAGCAAAGACCTCTATCGTCTTCATCATATCTATATATCATTCTTTAATATTGATACATCATCAAAAATTGTCTTGATCCAGCGAGAACCTCGAAGGTAGGCATGTCTTTGTTGGCGACATCCAAAATTAAATTTGGTATCATATGAGCATCAATTTTAGGAACTTTTTGTCAAATTGAATGTCTCAGTAAGAGGAACCCAACAACAACAAAATCGGTTCAATCCGAGCCCAATTGGGCTCAAATCAAAGGGTTGAAGAATGCTAGGAAGTTTTTTTTTTTTTTTTTTGTTAAAACCTACGGATCAGGGGCCTACGCGTTGATTAAATAAAGAAATTACAAGATCCTTAAGGGGAACCTTTAACTCTCTACTGCTCTGAGGAGCTACAAAACAAATCTAAAATAAAAACCTACGAGCCTAATGATACCCAAATATAGCATGCTTATAGTCGAATCAGGCAACTCGACGAGACCAATTCAATGAGCTCAATATTACATAATTTTAATATCATTAAAGCAGTTAAATGTTGAATGAATGATTTATGATCGAGGGGATCAATATGAGCCGTCTAATGGACACACACGCGCGCGCGCACACACATACACACACACGCGCGCGCGCACACACATACACACACACACACTACACGAAAATAGTTCATTACCAAGGGATTTTTTTGCGCCGGTAAAAGCAGTATAGGAAAAAGTTAAATACGCATTGTTTGTTTTTTGCTGTTCTATGTTCTATACTGTAGTTATAAATTTAGGTTTTGTTTGAGAAGCCTTTTTTATGTTTTTTTAATGCAGATTCTTTATAAAAAAAATAAAATTTTTGTACTAAAAATCTATTTTAAGAAGCAACAAGAAAGCCATCCTAAAAAAAACTTTAAAGTATTCTCATTTATTAACCATTTTCAGTTTAAATTTAACTTAAGGTATATCATCTTTCTAAACATTGAATCAGGATCTTCATAACATTTTTAGAAAGGGAGACCATTCGGAAGCTGCTTCATCATCAGCTTCAAAAAAACCAAAACCCAAAGGTCATTTATTGTAATATATATACTATTTCATTTATTTATTTTATTGTAAGGTCTCTTATTTGTTTATTTTTTATCTTCTAATTGGCTGATCCCATTTTCCACCCATTTTTTATTGATAATTACAGCATTAAAGGAGGAATTGCATCAACCATCACCTTTTTATTTTTTCAAAAGGTAAAATATTTATCTAAATTATTACTTTTTTTAATACTTAATTTGCTACATATTTCACATATAATTATTGTCTTAATCACGATTTAAACATCTCATTGATAACTAAGAGCTGAAACCTTAATTGAGCATTCACGCTTTTTTCCTTTATATATTTATATATAGCTTATTAGTGTTTTATATAGAAATGTACTTAATACTATAAAATCCCATGAATATAGGGACACGGTATGTGAACTGACTAAAATCCCTGGTACGACACATGAAGAAGCCTACAACATGGCATTAATAAGCGTATGTATGACTCTATAATACGAGAGATTATTATATGCGGATTCTGACTGTAGTTTTTCGTCTAAACTCTAATCACATAAAAACTCGTTGATTTTCTCTCTCTTGTACACACCTTATGTACAAGAGAGAACCAGATTTCGCATGTAATAATTTTTGCTTTAATACACCTTCAATTATTCTTTTTATTTGAACACAACTCATGATGAATATATCTACATTATAAATATAAGTATTTGCTTTACTGATTATTGCAGTGGGCTGAGTTTGGATATCAATGGTGTTTTGCCTCTCTGAAGTCAAGCCTCCAACTCCGTGATCCACATATATCAATCCCAGAGTTCAAGGTAAGTGTTTGCAAGTAATAATTTACAAGTAATTATTGATCATATAGAGCTAAATAATGAGAAAAGTTGAACCAAAGAAATATGGCAAAGATGGTTGAATCTCATATTCTTGTTTTGATTAATAGAGCCAAAGATAAGAGGCAAATCTAAAAGACACTTCAAGTTTATATTGGATATTACTAAAGAGTGAATTCTCATGGAACATAGTTTTTAATTCAGAAAATTAGTGAAAAATGTTGGCAACTGAAAAGTGTATCAATAACATCGAACTACATTATCCAAAAACTCTTACTTCCGCACCATTTCCTAAAATGGTGATCTCATTATTACTTATTCTAGCGAAACCGCCCATAAGAGCCACCGTTAATCATCGGTCGTTTAGCCGTATTCTCAAAAGACCTATATCTACAGCCATTGTGTGTGGATGATCCTGATCTACCTGACAAATTTTCTTTCTGATTCTTCTCAATTCGAACCAACTATAATAATCTCAATTTATTATAAATTATTTCTTTCTTGCTCAAGAACAATATAGCTTTGTTGCGTCCAGAAGTATTCGCGGCGGTAGAAAAATATATTTACGAAGCTATGTCGACAATGCTTTTACAAAAGTGCAAAAGCATTATATATATATATATATATATATATATATATATAGTTTTTCTAATAATATTTTTATCTCCTTATTTGCTGCAAGTCGCAAAAGTTAAAGAAATGTTTCCTCATTGACATCATATTAATACAATCCGAATCAGAACCATGGTATAGCATAGCGAGATATGTTCAACATTGAATATTCCATTCTAGATTATATTTTCGCTTTTTTCCCTACCGCATGCATAAGCAAGAAAGTAATACTCACGGCTATAGCAATAACCATATGAATAATTGAACGATTTTGTTTATCATGGAACGATATGTCATCTAAATTGACTAAGCAGTCTTCAACTTCTTTCTTCTAATCGTTCATCCATCTGTTGCATACAAATAAAGACACTTCAGCATGTCTTTCATTACAAATCAAAAATCAAAGCTTTTATGCCTCCAAAATCTAAAAGACACCTCAACTTTATGTTGGATTTTCCTAATGAGGGAATTCTCATAGAACCTAGTTTTTAATTCAGAAAATTACAAAGACCCTCCTTCATAAGATAATTTTAGTTGATAAAAATGAGATTTACAATAAAATTACAAAAAAAAAAAGAATTGAACTATTCATTGGAAGATAATTAGAAGTAATTGCCTAAATACATCGAACAGGAAAATCAAATCAAGTAGCAGTTAAGCAAAAGAGGGAACCCTAATCCAAAATCAAAAGAAAGAAAAAATAAATGGTACAAAAAATATGCCCCAATCAAAAATAAAGGAAATGCTAATCAAATTTAGGCTTCATTAAGACAATTTTTTTAATGCTTTTTGTAATTGCTTTCTAAGAAGCTGCCCCAAACGAAATTTTACTTTCCCAATGAGCTAAGGTGCTACTCTCAAAACAGTTATATATTACAAACTTTCTCCAATTTTATCAAATATTTAAAGCAAAACTTTAGCTTCAAATATTTTCATTCAATAGTTCTCTTTAATTTGAATTTACTAATCTATCTTTTTTAACTTTGAATCAGGAAAGTAAAAAAAAGGAAGCGAAGGAACGCTACCCCAAAAAATCAGCTTTTGATTATTTCATATGGTAAAAAGAAAATTTTGTCTCAAATATTCACATTTTTTATTATATTTTTAATTTGATCAGCAAGAATTTAATTGCATTTAATTTTAAGTATTTTCAATTTAAATTTCATTTGAGAAAACTTTCTAGAGAAAGCCTTACTCTTATCTTTTATAGCTAGATTTAAAGCTTTGTTGGAAAATATTGTAGAGAAAGTCCACTTATATATCATTAGAAAACTATATAGAATATCTTAAGAATCTTAATCAATAAGATTGTTTGTCATCCTAGATGGTTTGGTCACTTAAAATGTTGGCCGTCGATTCGATGACTCTGTTAGGAGAGTAGATTTATTAGACCTAGACACCCAGTCTATGATAAAAAAGGCAGAGGTAGACCTAAAAGGCTTTTTTTTATTAAAGCTACTTGTTTTTTTATTAGATTTAAATGAGAATTTGACTATTATAGCACGCAACATGCAGTATTAATTTGCTAAATTGTTTCTTCTCTATATATATAACATAGAGAGAAGCTTATAACATATTTATATAGAAATGTCCATAAAAAATTTAAATTTGCATGAATATAGGGCTGAGCAAGAACGAATGGCAAATGAAAATCCTGGCAATAATAAACATGAAGCCTACGACAAGGCTTTAAAGAAAGTAAGTATTATTGTCCACTATAATCCTTTTTGTTTGGAAAGGAGTTTTTTCTTTTCTTAGGCTTCATTTGGAACAGTTTTCTTATTGCTTTCTAAAATAGATTTCTAGTATAAAAAATTCTTGTACTAAAAAGCTACTTCAAAAAATAATAAGAAAGTTATTTCAAATGAAACATTAGGCTTCGTTTGAGATGACTTTCTTACTGTTTCTTAAGATAGTTTTTTTTAAAAATCATATTAAATGAAGCTTTAACCTCATCAAGATGAATATATAGCTATATTAAAATTATTCATATAATAACTTTCTTGACTGATAATTAAGCTTCTTTATTGCAGTGGTACAAGTTTGGATATCAGTGGTGTGTAGACTCTCTAATAGAAACTTGTGTCATTGATAAGGAGAAGCTTATGAAATCCCCAATTTACGATTTGCGTAGATACTTCGGAAATTAAGCTTTTTTACTGCAGTGGTATAAGTTTGGATTTCAGTGTTATTTTAAAAGAAAAAGAGCTCTATCCCGAACTTCTTATCTCATATACTTACAGTTCTGATTATATATTTCAGTGAAGTAATTTCTATTGTTATAAGCAAGATCTATATGTTTCATTCCATGTGAAAGCTAGTATTGGGAAGCTATTAGAGCAGTTTATGGATATACAATATCTTGGATCTTATTTTCTTCACATATTTTAATAAAAGGATGATGAATGATTGTCCCGTGGATGTAGAGTTCGTAAGAACTCGAACCTCATAAATTTTATGTGTTTTTGTTTTTCATTTCTTGACAAATGCTATATGAAATTGGTTATTTCATGTTTATGGTAATCAATAAACATTTGATTTGCAATTAATCTTTAAACTACGATCAAGATATTTAAATATATCAGGTTGGTTCATCTCTTCCATGCACAGCAAAATCATATAATTTATTTTCTAAAATGAGACAATATAATCTTCAACTTAAAGACAAGCCACAAAGAGGAAACAAGCTTACACATTAAATATTCCTGATAATGTGCATTTAGAAAAGGGTTTTTTGTTGTCTCCTTTTATAACGCCTTCTGAAGTTGTTTGTGTTAATAATGTTGTTGATTCTCCTCTGATCTTTCTCTCTAATAATAACCTTTTAAAAAATTTGGTATGTGATGGTCACCAAATGGATAACATTAATATTATTTTTGAGGCTTATGGTGAGAATTTAGTTTCTTCTCCAGCTGGTATGAATTTGTCGAATGATGGTTATGATGATGCGGGTAATCTTGTGGATATTAATTTTAATCCTATCATTGATTCTGATTTTCCTTTTGAGGGGATGAATGTTTCGAATAGCTTACCGATTATTGATTTACCTGTCTCTCCTATGTCGAATGGTGTTTGTATTAACATGGAAGGTGGGTTGCGTAAGGATTTGCAATCTTTCGACCCTGTTGATCACTCCGATTGGATTGAGGAATTTTCGGATAATATAAATTGTGATTGGGATTCATATGGTGGTTGTACTAATTTATCTTTAGATGATTTTGATACTAACATCTACGACCTAGCTAATACAATCCTGGACTTATTCCTTACCTAAAAAAGGAAGCTAGCCAGCTAAAATCCTAAGCACAACCAATCGCCCTATATATATGCAAGATGGGAAGGCTCTATCCTAAGGATTTAAGGATTAATAGTTTAAAAGATTTCAATCAAGGACTCTACAATATGCAAAGGAATAGATCTAGCGTTGTATGATGCATGAAAAAAAAAAACATAAATAGGAAATATCCTTAGGTCCACTAATATAACGCATGCATGTAAGTAAAGTGCACTGTGAAGCAAAGTGTGTAAAAACAACTGCATGCATGACATTCAGAGTACAGAAAAAATAAATAAACACACTAAAGGTACCCTTCAGACAAGATACCCACACAAAAAACCATCCTAGCGGTGCCCACCTCGTGTAGGGAAACAACGATGCCCAATGACACAATAGGTGGCCTACTCTATAGGCCTAAATGACCCTAATGGTCTCTAAGGCTCACAGAAGGTGGGGGTATCAAACCCAAAACCGAAAAAGGTCAAAAATCCTAGCGATGCCCACTTCGTGTGGGAAAACAACGATGCACAATGGCACAACTGGGTGGCCTACTCTACAGACCTAAATGACCCTAATGGTCTCTAGGGCTCACAGAAGGGGGGAAAGCTTTGACCTATAGGGCCAAAGCTTCGTTAGTGGACTACCCTAAGGCCAGCTACCTAAACATGCTAGAATACCTATTAACAAGTCATGTGTGATGTGTAGCAATTTCGATATCTAATTAAAAGAATTTGCTTTACAAGTTGCAGAGATTATACCTGATTGTGGCGCTGCCACTTACAAGCTCATGAGCAAACAATTCCAGATTGTGGCGCTGCCACTTAAAAGCTCCAAAGCGAATGCTCCCGTTTTATCATCAAGCTCCGATGTACCTCGCAATATAAGATAAGAGAAAAATATGCAAATGAGCGTAGATGCCGTTCAGAAAAGAAATGCAGGTAAATAAAATAATATAACTGACAGGAAATTTAAGAATTGCATTTATAGAATATGGGCATGTAGTAAATACTAAACAACAATAAAAAATATCGGCCTAACCTAGAGCTAAAAGTCGTGTCATAACCAAACAAGTCTAGGTTTGTGTAAAGGTGTGTAGTTTTGGATAGGTCCTATGTAGGATGATTTAATTATAATTGCTTACATTTGATTTGTTAGAAGGCAAAAGAGAGATTTTAACTCAAGTTTAATATTAGTAGTTTAGGATTAATTTTAGAGATTGTATTTTAGGATTTGATTGATTACCACCTTTGTTTCACACCGAGGCCGTGAAGTTTATTTCACTCTCCTTGGGGCTAACTTAATAGCCTCGTAGGCCTGGGTTACCCAGTGATAATCAATTTTATTCAATTATTAGTTGGTTATAAATTAGAAAAGAAATATAGATTAGGTAATTTATTAATCAAATTTGTTGATTGATTTTAAAGGTTAGTCTAAGGTTTGATATTTTAGGAGTCTTTTATCCTAATAGATTTTAGCTTAGGTTTGAATCTCCTAATTTTAAGTCTACATCTTTTAGACTTTAGATTGGTTAAGGGTTTACAATTAGATTATATGAACTTGATTTAGATTTGACATTTTTAATGGTTATGAAATATTAATTATGATTAGAATAAAAAAAAATAAATGTTTTAGTGTATTTTAAAAGGATTAAATTAGGGTTGGTTTCTATTGGTTGATTATTAGTAGGTTAAGGAGAACTAAACTTAGGAAAATATGCCACTAAGTTTTGTTTTGATGTCTTTACCCTACAGGGAGCATGCACCTTAAGTTTATGTTATCTAAGACCCGATCCTTAATTTTTGTCTTTAAATGTCACTAGAGTTGTAGGACTAAAAAAAAACAGTTTTATTTTTTAACCCTTAGGACTTTCGTACATGTATCACTAGGTTTAGAGATTTATGCATGAAAGTACGATAATAGATAGAAAAGCAATAGAAAGAAAAAGAATGAAAATCAGAAATAAAATGAATATAGGCATTGTTGTTGTTGGACACACTTCTTTGAAGTCAAGTGTGCCTCTAAAATAACCTTCTCCTTCAATTCGATGTGATACGAATAAGGAAGAAGGCATTTTCAATGCCCTTTACTGTTCTCACAATCCAAATAAAGCACTTGATACAGACCTGACTAAACTACACAAACTATTCTCAAAACAAACTCAAAGTGACGAGAGGAAACAAGCTCCCCAAAAACTAAAATTTAAAACAAGTTTCTCTTTTTTTTTTATATTTATCTAAAACCCAATTTTAGAAACAAATGCAAACAAGAAGGAAGACAAACCACCCATAAACAATATCATTCGTTCCAAAAAGACAGAGTCTCTCAATCCAAAGTCAACCATAAAGCTCTGAATCTCAAAATTCATATACAAAATCTTCGCATGAAACGACATATGAAACCACTTATCGAAAAGAAAGCAAAACACCAAAAACTCTTTTGACACAAAATCAATCGAGTGCTTTTATTCTATTTGGTGTGGGGTAGAAACCATAAAGCTTTCCAACAAGAAAGTCTTATAAAACCTCTCATTGTAAAGCATTCATGAAACTCGTCACATAAAACTTTTAAAACAAAATCGATCTAAAGTCAATGCTAAGCCATCTCATTATAAGTAAAACAGAATTTTTTTTTCTACAAAAAGCAAGTTCACAAAACTTCTCAATACAAAAATAACTCACAAAACCCTCACAAAGCTTCTAACCAATTTTCCTTATTCTATGCTTCATGACAACAAAAGTTTCAAAAATAAATATATTTTTTTAACCCATAAACCATTCCCTAAGACTTTCCAATCATAAAAACAATCATAAATTTCTTGGCTTAAGACAAATCAAAGCTCCATTAAACATAGAATAAACAATGACTCATTCAGGCATAAAATAACCCCCTAAGTTTTCAAACATGAAACAAGTCATAGATTTTTTTTTACATGGGATGAACCATACAGTTTTTTACATAAATCAACTCATAAGAGATTTCCAATATAAAACAACTCGCAACATTTTTTTAAAGACAACTCATGAAGTTTTTCCAGCACAAAGCCATCCGTGAAATTTTCTAATACAGATATCGACACGACTGTCACATATATAGAATTCAAACCAGCGGAGATAAATTAAGATATGAGAAAGCATGAAAATATCTCGCAACCCACTGTAACCTCATAAAGCCCAAATGGTCTCCAACCTAATCATTAATTTCATTATACAATGAGTATCACTTTCCAAATTTCAATGACATATGCCACCAGATATTTCAAACAAATGCCTAATTCGAATTCATGAATCTACACTCATGCCAAATGTATTCAGAAAAGAGAAGAAAAAAAAATTCTTATGCCATTGTTTTGCTTCCGAAGTTCAAGAGAAGAGAGCTTGCCATCTAGAATTTGAACGATATACCAACTGTCTTATAGTCAAATGTCCCTCCTCCAACAACACAAGCAACATGGCATTAGACAAACCAACATATGAATACTCACCAACAAAGAAACTCACATTCAGATTTTATTTAAGTTTCTTGGAGGGGAACTAAATGAATGTAATTCCAACATTTCCATTAGTAAAGTCGTATAAGGAAAATTCAAGAAAACTTGACTAATTACTTCAGCAATCAAGCTCAATTAATCTTTCAACAAACATGTAATAGAAAGCTACTTTAAATGTCTATTTTCTAAACAAAGAGGTGGGGAATGCATGTGTATAAAGCAAAGTACAATCATATGTATAAAATCCTAACAAATTATAATCCACCAGAATTTTAAAATAGAAAAGGATGACTTAACCTTCTCCGAAAGATCCTCTACAGAAGGAGGGTAGATCGTCGCCATTCATAAATATCAAATAAACGCACAAAGTTGAAACTGATGCCTATGTTTAACCTTCTCCATAAAAAAAAATACCTCTTAAGTATGAATAAGCCATTGTTTAAAGATAACATTTTTTTTTATTTTTAAAACATCACATTTTAAACTTTCAAATCTCAAGGACATCAACAAAGTAATAATAATTTCAACAAAATCATTTCACCTAATCTCCACAATCTATACAATGAAAAGTACGCTTTGATGAAGTGTTCTCTAGCATAAAGCACATATGAGTATTTGGACTAAAGATATTAAGATAAAGCAAATTTTTTTATTTTACGACACTGTTCACAAATTTCAACATTTTAATAAGAACACCAAGCAGCCAAATTTCTTTTACTTGTCTTTCTTCATGGGCATAAATGTTAAACAGAAAGCAAAGAAAGGATAGATGCACCAAAATATTTCTAATTTACCTGAATTTGATGTACATGCATGCCTCCTCATGAATAATTTCTAATTTAACCAAATTCTAACATATGTAACTTTGCAGCAAAGACTTCATATTAAAGCATATGAGAAGTGTCAAAACAACAATGATAGTCTTAAATAAATAAATAATGAATGCCATCATGACTACCTCGACACGGCTCAGATTTCATTAAATGTTAAGCGATATATATGGAAGATTTAATACATGGACATTTGGTCAGACACATGTAGTATTTGCTAGCCATAAATAGTGATTTACATGAATTAAATGATATGGAGAAAATCTGCTTCAAAACTTTTCTTCAAAGTCACGCATAAAAAAAAACACGAAGCGAAAACAAAGGTATGAATTTTTCTAACTTGATAAAGACTTCCTATAGCATTATCTGGAAATAACATTTCTTAACAAAAGTTTTTCTAAGTAATCTCCATAACAATCCACAAAAGAACATATTTGGATTCGAACAACAACAAACCAGATTTATGACCTCATTCTAGTCGTCTTGAAAAATACAATTGATTTATTAATCTCGAGAAAGAAGAAGAATAATAAATTGGCGACGTTTGAAGCAAGCAAATTTAAGAAATAATGGCAGATATCTTCACCTTCAAATATATGAATAGAAAATCAAATAGAGACCCTTTTTTTTTTAAGAGAAAAAATGAACAAATACTTTTGATTAATTTCTGTTCACCATTACTATAGTGCCGTCAAAACTTGCTTATAACCTCCCAATTCAATCACAAACCTTAATATCAATTTCATTTAAAAATAAATGCTAAATCAAAACATACAGGTAATGATGCGTTCAAAAGAAATATAAGACATGGCAAAGTTAAAAAAAAAAAAACATGAGTCTTATAATAAATAATATCTCTACACAAAAACACATTCCGGGGGTCGCGACTCGTGGGGCTGGGGAAGGCGAGGGGTAGTAGTGGCAGGGGGGGAAAAATCACGAGGGGGGCCAAATCTGACACAAAATGATCTATAAAGCTGATATTACACTCACATCTTAAGTCCTTTACATCAGGATATTTTTTTTATTCATGCAAAGACTACACAGAATGAAGTGAAGAGGTATTGAGCACATTTTTTTATGTGGTGATGAATCCGTACTAATGAATATCAATATTACTCAGCAACAGAAATTTTCCGGCAAGATCAATTCATGTTATGTTAAAAGCCATTAAAACAATTAGCTCTAGTTTTAGTTTTATACCTGTAATCGCGTAGAGGAAAAGAAGGAGAGGTCTAAGTCTATCGGACTTGCAATCAAGAACGGAGATGGGATTTCGGGGAGCTGGAAGACGTCAGGTGAGGCAACAAGTTTTGGCTGGGGCTGCGTCGGCTCTTGTCTTCAGCAAACAGAGAGACAAATCTCCAGAGGGGGCCGTCCGCTCTTGGCTTCAACGAACATAAAGAGAAATCAGAGAGAGGGGGCCTTTTTATTTTGGGTCTGCCAACTAGAGTAGGCTGAGAGAAGGATTTGGAGTTCTTGGAGCAAGAAAAACGAGAGGGGGAGCGGGTGCAGATGCCAGAGCTGGAGCGGCGGGATAAGGAGATCCTGTGTGAGAGAGAGGGACCGGGGGCTCGGCCTCCGTCTAGGGGCAAGCTTCTTCGGGCCAGAAAAAAAACGAGAGCTCCAGAGGGAGGGGAGCGACGGGTCTCTGCGAAATCGAGAGCCAGCGAGCGAATTGGGTTTCACGCCATTGAATACTCTGGCAACAGGTCGACTTCGGATTTTGAGGAAATCGGAGCCGTCAATGCCATTACCGGATTTGGAATTAAATTCAAAATTTTTTTTTTTGGGAAATTTTGG